ACCATTTGGCCTTCTGGGAGTACCTCCTTTCACATGTCGGATCAGCCCGTTCAAATAAGTCTGTGCATTCGGCGTTGTTGCTGCAGATTCACCAGCATTTGGCCAACCACTCTCCGATACAACAATCTTCACAGAGCCCCCGCCTGCCTTCTCAACAGCAGCATACATAGAATCCAAGAGGGCATCAAAAAGGTTCCGGTATCTAAGCTGACCATCATGTACCACATCCGATGGGGCAGTAAACAAGGCATAATCAAGCCTAATAGAAGCTGGGTTCCCGATGTAACTGAAGTAAGGATAGATATTAGCACATAGTGGTGACCCTTTTTCAGCTAGGAAGCCAACGATAGGCCGCATGTATTGCAGATATTGAGCTTTGAAGACGGAATTGGATGGAGGGAAGGTATTATCCAGGACTCCAGAGTAAGTTGCAGTTGTCACCTTGACTTGGTTTTGTAACCCAGCTGCTTCAACTGCTCTCTGAATGTTTCTCATGGCTGGGAGGACATATTTGAAATCTTGGGGAGGGACTTCATTACCGACAACTATATACTTGAATTTGATAGCGTCTCTGTTGTCTACCACATTTCCATAGACAAAATCAAACGCCGGAGTGGGGTTGTCGCCGGCCACACGCTGAAGTTCACTGTTAGGGACGTCAAGCATTACTTCAATGTTGGAGCCTTTGAGAGCCTGAAGAGCATCTCGATTTGGACTGTAAAGCCTCATCCTCTGTATATTATTGGCTTTATAGAGAGCCACAACCTCATTGGGTGGTGGTAAGTTGTTACCTAGCATTCCATAGCACACACCAATCGATTGTGCACCTGTAAATGGAAGACAGTGAGGACTTTTTGTTAAAAAAAAAAGGTATATATGGTGGTAATTATTAATTTATTCAAAGAAAAAAACACGAGTATGCTAATGACAGAAGGTATAGACAGAAAAGGATCGGGCCCAGGCCCAAATCATGCATCTCAAGCCCAGGAACTCGCCTGATCACTTCAACAACCCCGCCCCACCACCCAGTCCCAGCCAACTCACCCAAGACCCAGACACAGCTCCCCCATTAAAACAAATCAAACAAGGTCCCAGAACACACACCCAAACATTAGCTTAAACTGAGACTACTTTCAGACTGCCTACGAAACCCCTCAGCTACTACTCACACATCCCTATAAAAATCTGGAAGCTTCTTTGACGACACTGTGGTTTGGGAGGTAGTGCCAAAAAGAAACCATTGATTCCTGCTCCTTCGTCAGTTCAATCCAGTAAAAGGAAGCCAAGAAGAGCTCAGCTTTATGGTATCTCAGGACTTAGCCCCTTCCTTGTATTGGTAGAATAGAAGGGTGGCCAAGCTTCCAAGTCGGGAATGGAATGGAATGGAATTAATTTGACCTTGAAACCTCATCCCGATTCCATGTTATCTGATGAAATTGAAGCCTTCCAGTCTAGAAATTAATTCTACTTGTGTTCCATACACCAATTCATGCATATGAGTGAATCTAAAATTTGTATCCGGTAGATTTAATGTGCACTACAACCAAAAGCAATCTAAGTTTAGGAATCCCACCCCACATTTTGGATTAGGTTATTAAGAATAAACCTACTAAACTACTAAACGGGTAGATGCATATCCATGCGAACATATGCACACAAGAGAGAGAGAGAGAGAGAGACCTGCCAAGGATGCAGAAAACATTAACAGGCACAGGCCAATAACAAGCACTGAAGCAGCAGCCATAGAATGGCTGTTTCTTCTTGCAAAGCAGCACATAGTCATAAAGAGTGAGTAGTAGAGACTAAAGAGGAAGAAAAAGCTCAAGATTTGTTATGTTTCCAATGCAATTGATGCCCCTTTTATAAGGTTGATGGACGAGGCTAAGATATTTTTTTAATCTCATTTCGTTTTGTAGGGTTTAGAAGTCCGAACCTTCCCACACAATAATCACTAGAGAGATTAGCAGCCAGAGTTGAATATTCCACAGCCTTAATTCATAGATATGCCTGCCAAGACGATGCATATATTCCCTAGTTCTTAGTCTATTAAACCACTGTTGAGCTAGTATATTGACAAGTACTGCTTGTCTGCTTCTTCTGTTTCATTTTATTGAATTTCTCATAAAACCATGTGCCTTTTAAGCACATAATGACAATTTAAAAATCTTTCAACCGTGCTCTCTAGCATTAGAATTAATGTGGCTGCTGAGTTTATTACTGGGTTAGAATTTTGTCGAGTTATTGATTGTTCACAATGAATAAATTGCATGCGTTCACGGGATACTGTATATAAGTTAATCAACCTTTCAATCACAATGTGTCTGACGTAGGTATAGGTGAGATCACATCAGGGCTCCACAGGTATCCCATATAAATATATATATGAGAAACTCTAATAGTAGCTTAATGATCACTGTATAAAGGTCTAACATTATTAGAAAACATGTTTAATTGGATTCATTTGATTGTGTGTTCTTTCTTTTCGCATTGCAATTTTGTTTAACACCCTACTAGTAGCCCAGCCCATCGGTGGAGAGGAAAGGGGGCTTCTGATACAACCACAAATGGTGGGATCCACTGTCAATAAAGAACAAACTAATCCCTATTTTTTTCTCACAAAATGGTCAATGCACAGCTGCAAGTGGAGGGCGGATTCAGTCCGGAGAAAATGGTCCTCATTACCGTTTTTATGGCCCTTTTCAGCCATGCATTAGGAATATTTTCTCGAAAGCATAAAAATGCTCTCGATACATTTTTGTAAGGGCTAAATCTGATTTTTTGCAAGTCTTATGAGGTGGGTGTGAAGAGGATTCTAGGAACAAAAATCGGAGCTAATGTAAAATAGATTACATAACCAATCAAAAGTGAGCATGCCAGAATAATCAATTGATCCCACATTTTGTTTCATCCTGCCTAACAAGCCAAAGACTTTTAAACAATAATGACTATATGTATATAAACGAAAAATCTATGATGCAGAAAAGATATGGTATGGGAAGAGTTTTGATCAATCAAAATTTATTATAAATAACACCTATTGGCTATCACGTTTATGATTCTAAATGACTGGCTGGAAGTTTTTCAGATATCATATCTTTTTCATATCATAGTCAAACCCATAAATAAAACTTTTTATGGAAGTTTTTGTGAGACGAGCTAGACGGGGCCCAGGCCTAGGTTAAACCCCTTTTAGTAGATATCCACTCTAGTCTCGAGGCAACTACTAGTGGGCCCAGGCCTAAGTTAAATCCCTTCTAGTAGATATCCACTCTAGTCCGAGGCAACTACAAGTGGGCCCAGTCATGGTAGTCAAGGTCGTGGCAGAATATTATTGATCAAGAGATGACGACCCTCATATACTCAAGTTAGGGGTGCAAAATGGGCCGTTTCATGATCGGATTCTATCCAAATTCAATCCTATCATCAGATTCCAATAACTCTTCGTTGGATTTTTGGATTGGATGGGGATAAATCCAACTGAAAAATGGGATTGGTCAATTTTGAAAAGAGTATAAATATAAGGTTTTGTATTCTATATATTTGTATTTGTATTCCTTCCAAACTGAGCTGATTGAATTTAGACCACCCCCTATTCAATTTAAAAGAATTCAGTTGAATAAATTTTCTTTAATAATTTATTAGAATTTTGAACTATGGATTGGAAGATCCATTCCTAGAACCGTTTGCATCCCTAACTCGAATACACAAGTCCTTGTCTAAGAGGGGGCGTCTTGGTTCTCTGCGTTTAATTTCCTGGCTGTATTCAAAATGAAGAGAATTACGTTACGTGATGGGAGTCTAAACAACTTGAGTTGGGGTCCCTCTTCCTCTTGTCTCAACTGTTTCGTTAGAGTTATAATTTGATCTTTCTCTTGACCGGTAGAGATTGAATATTTTCTAATAAAATTTTATTTTATATGCACAAACAACAAAATCCATCTCTCTCTCCATTAACACACCAGTGCAAAATCTAGAAGAAATTCCATTGAATATCCATCTGGTTAATTTGTTCCGGTCAGAGATGAAATGAAGTAGGGACTTCGTTTCCACAATGGAGAAGAAACCCATAGGATGAGAAGGTTGATAAGTTTGCAATAATTGAGAGTGGCCCTACTAGCACTCTCATCCATCCATTCAACCTTCGTTACGCACGACAATCCATGACTTTTACTGCTAACGCAATTAGCGGATTGACTCACGCAAGTCAATCAATATGCAGAAATTCGGTACGATTGCAAAAGTATTGACTCAAGAGGGTCCTTATCGATCAAAATACAACTGAGAATTACAGAGTTTATTGTGCGATTCCATCTCAACTATTGAAGTTAGTGTTCGACTGTGACATGGAAAAGGTATGATATCCGAAAAACAACTGACGAATAAACCAGAATCATATACGTTTTGTACTGTTTTATATTTTTTCTTCTTTTGATTATGTAAAATTCATTTTTAGAGTAAGCATCAAAAACAACATTTTGATATATCATATCTTTTGGCCACCATTTTAAGATTCCAGTTGACTGATTAGAAGTTTTTCATATATCACATCTGTTTTATATTATAATCGAACCCCATAATAAATTGTACATCCCATTTTAGAGAGGTGAATAGGGTTGATAATATCCTCCTTTTTATCAATATTGTAAGATTTAGATCTTTCTAAATCATCAAGGACCCATTTCTCTTCTTTGAATAGAAGATATAGCATCTTTGGATTTATTAGTTTAAGCAGGAGATATTATAATTTGATATTATCGATCTTTTTTTATTCAAAGGATCACCCCATCTTAATTGAAAAAGCAAATGCCATTTCAGGAAGAAATCTAGTTCCATTTCTATGTTGTTCTTGAATTTCTTTTTCTTTCTATGGTATTTAATATATAATTCTGTGCATCTAATCCAAGATCCCCTTTGCCTGATGACCTTTTTCTTCTTGATTTTAATTTTCTAATTCAAGAAATTTTTTCATAAGATGATATTCGTGATATACGAAAGTCTTTTTTTTTTGTTTTCCATTGATGTTTTTATTTTCACTAACGTTTTCATTTCCTTCACTTCTTCCCACTTCTCAATCTTACCCTTACTTTTCAAATCTTCCAAGTAAACACCCTGGCATGTCATGCATG